CTTCTTCTTCTTCTTCTTCAAGCCACCACAACACCAAAATTGACCAAGAGCCACCAAGAGGGATATGGTTAGGGTTTTATGAGATTTGAGGGTGATGGAGGCTGATAATGAACCCTAAAATCGACTTAGAGAGGTTTAAATATGAAGGAAACCCTAAACGATCATGGGCTTGGGCTGCAGCCTGCTTCACTTCGTAACCACAACTCCGATACGTGTTTCTCATATTGGCTTGTCACGTCGTGACCACCCTATCGTCTCATTGTGACACTCAGTTTTTCCGAAAAACCAAGCTTTAGAATCTTTAAAGCCCTAAACCAAACCATTCTGGAACACAAGCGTTACACACTCTAAATGTCATTCTACACAGTTACTAGTTATAAGGACAACCCAAAAAGGACTTACTTTCAATTCAAGTATATACCAATTTAGTTATGATTTTAGACACCTTAATCCAACAGTAATGACACAAGCATTATGATTTAATTTTTTTTGTGTGAGCTAGGTAGTTTTCTTTGTGACTCCATCTTACTCATAGAGATGGCAAGCTAATATATTTCCTATTATAGATTTTTGATATTTGCGTTGGTCTCGTGTTGGAAATCTTGAGTACTTATGACCAATTTGTTGGCAATGTCTTCTAAATACATACTTGAACTACTCTCATGTTGTTGCACAGGCTACTGTTATGACTGGAAGTTAGAATGTTGTTGATGGGACATCATCTAGTATGGAGGCATTGGTTGGTAAGCTTATGTAGGTCTTTGTTGGTAGGCAATTTTGTGATTATGTCGTAAACCATGGTTGTTTTGGGGTTGATCATATTGCCTTTGGTAATGCCTGAGTACCCTCCTATTGCTCGTTCATTCACAATGTCTTCTTACAACATAAGGCACATATGTTTTGGGTTCCCTATTTGCAAATAGATTCGAAAGGCCCAAACCATATGCTTTATACCCTTTTTCTTTATGAGTTGCATTACATTCTTTGTCAACTCATAAAGTTGAGCTTCAATATATGTGGTTGTAACCTTTGTGTTTGATCCATATCACTCAATGAACCCCCAATGGAAGTGTTGATTAGGCGCCTTTTCATGGATGTTAACCCTTTGTAGAAACATTTTAATAGTTGATGCTAAAAAATTCCCCTCCCATGGGCACTAAAACAGAACTTCTTGAAGTGTTCCTAATATATGTTTAACACTTCCTTTTCCCTTGTTTGATTCCAAAGATATCTCTTTGTATGCTGGAAGCTTTGGGTTCTAGAAAATATTTCTCTAGGGATTATTTTACAATAGTATTCTATTTAGTTATTGATTCAGGTAGCAAATAATCACTGCTTGTTGCACAAAAGGGTAAGACAAGGTAAGTATGGCCAATCCTTGGGGACAAAAGTTAATAATATATGCCTATTTGTGTAAGGCACCCTTGTTCGAAGTAATAACTAAATGAAAAAAATTAGAGGTGTTTGTAAACTAAAAACTAAGAAAAAAATAGCATAACAATGATTAGGTTCTAAAACAAATTCATGAATAAAAGTGATCCGGGTATGTGTTTTACTCACCTAGTTATAGAAATTAATCATGAAATGATGTCAAATTGTATTATTATAAGTTGGTACTAAAAGATGTTAACACGCTGTAGTTTATTTTCATTTAACAAATTGTCTAATAAAAAACAAGTTTTATGAAATAAACATAATCTTTCTAATATAGTCTAAACAAACACTTAGAGTTAAATTGATAAATCAGATTAAGTATTAATGTTCCTAAATAATGTCCATTTCTCCTTATAAGCTCAAGAGTGTGAAAACACGCAATCATTAGTTTACATCGGCACTAAATCTCATCATAAAACCAATTTAATGTTTGTTACTTAGTATTAATACATATAACATTTACGAATTTTACGCATTAAATAAGGATTTTGAACCAACTCTGATCCAAGCGGCCAACATGAACTGAGCTAAAGTTCAAACATTTATTTAAAATGAAACTACGATTGCTAGATAGGACATAAAATCCAACATCAAATCGAATGATTAATTACATAAAAAGGTTGAGTCTTTTAAAGAACCAAAATATAAGATTTTAGCCACATGTGACTAAAACAGAATAAAAATAAAAACTAGGTTTATACGCAAATTAAACTTACAACATTAAAATAAATATGTTTCTGAATGATAACGTAGCCAAAACCTTTTGAAAAATTGCCCAGACTCTTTAAAATTCGAGTGATATCAAATAATGCTCATGTGACCCATGTGAAATCATGGTAAATAATGCCCATGTGACCCAAAAATTAGGTTTAAAAATTTGCAAAAACGATTACTAGGCCTTACACGACCCAAGTGAAATCATGGTAAATCTACACGACCCGTGTGGCTATAATAGCACGCTACCCTCTTGAGAAAATAAGATAAAGTGTTATGTCTTCATGAGAAATTCTTCTAAACACATGTCCCATTTCTTTATAGTACAACTCCACATGCCTAATGTGGCTTCAAATCTTCAAGTCCACGTACGTGGTTACACGAACTTTGTGGAATCCAAGGGTAAATCCACACACGCCCATTTTGTCTTCTGATTTCTTGAATCCATTCACACCTTCGTATGAACCTGGAAATCAACCAAAATTGTTTGGATTAGGATGTTCCACCATAAAACATAAAATCAACAAAAATTGCGTAGATTAGGATGTTCCACCAAAAAACATAAAGTTGTCCCAAAATTAACTTCAAATATATGGCCTAGAAGCTAAAATACAATGCAAACACAATAAATAAACATGCTAACATATACATAAATTGCATCCCACAAGGGTATTTAATATAATATTATTATATTCTTTCAGTGTAACATATGATTTTGCCTCACTATTATCAAATATATTCTCTTTTCTAACATATATTGCCATAATATTATTGTACTCTTATATATTCTCTATGAGTGACAAAGAATATCCCCTTGTGTGAGCATAATTGTTTTTAGGAAAATGACACAGTAGCCCTACGATGTTTTGCACATTTTCCCATTCAATCCCTTAAGTTATTTTCATGCCTTTTAAGGGAACAAAGTTATTAGTGATCTGTCTTTTTGAACCCTCTATCTTCAGTAGCTAGTTTCTTGTTCCAGTTATGCCATTTTTCCATTTCAAAGTCAAAATCATATGGTAAAAGTCAAAGTCATGGGCATGTAAACCAGAAAAACGTCATCGAAGTGTATCACCTTCTACAATCGAAGACTGTATCGACTTCTACAATCCAATATCTATGATCGTTCCTTGTATCAACTTCAGCTTCTTTCTCTTTCTACAAACTAAGCTTCTTTTTTGTTATATTACTATAAAATGACAACTTTAATAGTGATGGATATGAACCTCGGTGAAAATGGAAGTGTGAAGCAACGTGTTAATGACGAAGGAGGAAGGATGAAGATGAAAGGTTTTGATTTTGCCAAAAACCAAAAAAACCCTTATCATTGATCCATAACAAGTTTAGTTCCAAGATACATCAAATCACAGCTTGTAAACAATTATGTCAAAAACAAAACCCAACTGAGTAGTAAGCAAATCTTCAGCTTTCGATTTTGGCTTACACCTCAGTCAAGCTAATCTTCAGGCTCTGATTTTAGATTACCACTTTCCTCAAGGTTTGATTTTGGACTTCGACATCATGCTTATGATTTTCAACCTCATCAACGCATAAAAGAAACCCACTCCTAGGTCCCTACAGATTTCACTACCTTCAATTAGCAAAATTAGGTTAGAATTGAAAAAACTCAAATGTTTCTTGAGAATGGAGTACCATATTCGGGTAAGCATAATATTACCTACCAGGATTCTTCTTAGTGGTGGAAGTCCTTATGATTGCCATGCTTCCACAATCGCACATGATCATATTTTCTTGTGTTGGATGCAACAAAAGAAGAAGAAGAAGAAGAAGAAGAAATAAGGAAATGAAGTACGTGAAGAAGAAGAAACTAAGAAAAAGAAGGAAGGAGATGAACTGGTTAAATGGACGAATAAGAGCATGGACTGGTCAAATGGTCAGCATTTTAGATGAGGAAGTCATCGGCTGACCCCTTCAGTTTTTATAGAAGGACCTATTCAGCCCGACAAGCCAACTTTGTTCCCTTAAAAGGCACGGGAATAACATAAGAGACTGAATGAACAAATGTGAGTGTCATTTTCTCATTGTTTTTTACATCATTTTTTGATCAAAGTTTTAAACTTATGGTAAGACAAAACTAGTGGGCCAAACATAAATTATATAATAACATGGAATATAGAAAGATTGTAGTAGGATAAAATTTTGTGATTCTTTTTGCAAAAAATTGACATAACTCGTAACTTTATTGTTAAGGAGCATAAAAGATAGACTTTCCTAACGATTATCGGTTAAAAACTAAGATTACCGACTAAAATCTCAAATATATAAACATTCTAATGTTATATCTCATAGATCCATATATGTTGTTTTAAAAAGAATTAGTTTTGTCATCCAGAAAAAAAAAATTAGTTTTGTCGGGCTAGCGTCGCAGCGTGTTGGCAATTTGTCTTCCGTCGATATGTGTTAGACTTTAAATATATCTTAATTAGCGATTTATTTTGTTATTTCCGTTCAGAAAAATAAAATAATAACTTTATGGTCAATATATCTAAAATATAAAACCATTGCTAAGATTTCCAAAATGATATAATATAATAATTATTACAAAGCTTTTGCTATCAAACGAAAAGATTACCCGACCCAGTCCCTTTTCCAGTCGTTGAAATTGGAAAGGGGTGTGTCGCATTTTAGCAACCGATTCACAAACACCATCGTGCTTGTCTCCCTACACTTTCTCCTTCCGTTTACACGAATTCATTCGATTATTTCTTGCGAATCGCCCTCCTAGCCATACTCGATGCTTCAGGGATTTTAACGAGATCCAAATCGGTAAGCAACTTTCTTGATTATGGTCGCTTTTGTTCTTCGACTGTATAAAATTCATATGATATAAGATGGATCCAGTCCAAACAAATTTTGGGTATTTCGCGGACGAGATTATCCTCGAAATACTAGCAAGATTACCCATCAAATCCCTGTTTCGAACCAAATGCGTATGCAAACTCTGGTACAAATTAGCCTCACACAAATCATTCACACAAATTTATAATGAATCATCTGTGAAAAACGTCATGGTTCTTGTGGAAGTTACAGAATCGTCTATAGAATCAACATCAAGTCTGATTCTCGTTGATAACAAGAGAGGTGTGTCTGAATTCTCATTGGATTTTATCAAAGACAGAGTCAAAATTAGGGCTTCTTGCAACGGATTATTATGTTGTTCTAGTGTTCCCGATAAGGGTGTTTATTATGTTTGTAATCCTATGACTAGAGAGTTCAAATTGCTACCCAGGGTTCGAGAAAGACCCATAACTCGGTTTTACCCTGATGGTGAAGCAACCCTTGTGGGCGTTCCTTGTGATTTGTTGAACAATAGATATAGTGTCGTTTTGGCTGGATATCATCGCATGTTTGGTCATAGACCCGAGGGTAAACTAATATGTTCTGTTTATGATTCTGAGTCAAATAAGTGGAGAAAATACGTATCTGATCAAGATGATCATGGTTTCACTCGTATGAATCGCAATCAGGTTGTGTTTGTGAAGGGTTCACTTCATTGGATGACTCAAACTTTTGCTTACATTCTTGTTCTTGATTTGAATTTTGATGTATGGAGAAGGATATTGTTGCCAGATGAAATGGGATGTGGGAATGGAAGTGGGAATAGGGTTTACTTGTTGGAATTAGATGGGAAATTGTCAGTGATTCAGATTTCTAGTGTTTGGATGAACATTTGGGTGTTGCAAGATTACGAAAACAGACATTGGGATTTGATTGATCGGGTGAGTTTGCGTTGTATTCGTGGAATGGTGCCTGGGATTTTCCCGATAAGTCAAGGGGGCGATTATGTCTTTCTTGCTAGTCATAAGCAGGTTTTGGTGTATCAAAGAAAGACAAAAATTTGGAAGGAAATGTACTCTGTGAAGAACAATTCCACAATGCCCTTGTGGTTCTCTGCGCATCCTTTTGGTGGTACGATTCTTCCATGTCGTTAATTTGCGTAATGACTAATTTGCCCCTGTTTTGTACAGTTTCTGTTGGCTTTTCATGATTGAGAGTGAATTCTGTTGAAGAAAATGATTGGTATTATTGTACATAAGTTACATGTAGCGGTATGCATTGCAATGCTCTATTTCTTATCATCCTTAATAAATGAAGGTTTTTTTTTGCCACATGTCAATCTCTCATGAGTTTTGACACATGTAATTTTGTGATTAATTCTTAAAAATTAATTTCCACTGGCATTTGTGGTAATTTTTGATTTTTTTAATTACTATTCTAATTTTTAGTTATAGAAAGTAATTAATGTGTCATTAATTTGTTTCCTTATACTTTTAAATTAAATTTTGATATGTTTCCTTCAATATATAATTCAAAATTGATATTTTTCTTTCAAATTTCATTGTCATTTTAGCAAATGGTCTACATATAAAAAATAATCAAATTTTATTGTTTTTCATTGATAAACTAAAAAAAATGGTTATGTGGCCAAAATATAATTACTTTTATGTAGTTTCTTTTATTATTATAAATTGAATTATTTATTTATTCATCATTTTGTTTGTATATATTTTGAAATTTCATTTTAAAAAATATTTAATTTTTACACAATTATATTTAACGTTTTCTTTAAAAAATATACTTAATATTCATATTTTTATATATAATTATTTTTTTAATCAACTCGTGTAGCACACGGGTCTCACACCTAGTCTACTCTAATAAATGAAAAATCTTTTTGTCACATGTCACACTCTCATTGATTTGGCCACATGTCATTTTGTGGTTATTTTCAATTAAATTTTTTCCACATAACATTTTATGGTTTTTCCATTTTATTAAATTTCACATAATATTTAAATGTAATAATTACAATAAATGTAATAATAAATGCATATCAATTTCAATTATTGACTTTCCTTCTAATTTTAACATTTCTAAATTAAAACTTCATTAGTTCCTTTATTTATTTAAATTTAAAAGAGAAAAAAACACTTTAATTTTAATAATTTAATATTTTTCTAATTTTTCTTATAAATTCAAACTTTTTCAAATGTTTAGAATTTTCATATTTAATTTTTTTTAAATGAACTCATGTAATACATGAGTCTTACACCTAGTATCTATTTAATTAAGTAGTGATGCAGGAAATTTCTGGTGTACATGTTTACATGCATGACAATAAATAAAAATTTAGGGATGATAATATCTTTAGATGATTTTGACTTAATTTTAGGGTTTAGAGTTTCTTGAACATAAGGTATGGGTTCTCCCCACCAAATTTGTGCCACATCATTCTCCACATCACACCATTTTAGCAAGGAAATGGTCACCACACCAAAATAATTACCATGTCATCTTTTTTTTTTCGAGTTTTTCATTTTTTTCAATAATTATAAAAACAAATTATATAATATTAAAAAACATATCATTTAAATAGAAACATAACATTTAAATTGAAAAAAGACATTACAAGACCAAAAAGTGCTACAATTAAAAAAAAAGTATTACACTATTCATCATCATTGTTAGCATTGTAGATATGATTTGCCAAGTTTTGTCGAAGTCAATCGTGTTTTTGTGCATCATGAATGGCAATGATTATGCAAATATTCAGGAAGATAAACCTGATACAAACTGCATGTGTCACGATTCCTTTGGCATATATTGTGCAATATTATTTCATTTCTATTCCATTACCATGTTAGGCTAAGAGGTATGGTCACACCCAACCTACCGAAAAAGTGATGACACCTCATCGCCATGTCAGCTTCACTACCAACCCACTAAGGTCATCCACATCAGTGCAATGTCACTAATCTTTCAATTGTGCCACATAAGCTTTGCAATGACTACTCATATCAGCGCAATAACACTCATCTTTCAAAAGTGGTCCCCACTACCACATCAACAATTACTTTATATATATATATATATATATATAATATAATATATATATATATTATATATATATATATATATATTATATATATATATAATCCTCCTTAATAAATGATGGTTTTTTTTTGCCACATGTCAATCTCTCATGAGTTTTGGCACTTGTCATTTTGTGGTATTTTTGAAATAAATATTATCCACTTGTCAATTTTTGGTTTGTTTCAATTTTTAAAATTAAATTCATATACTTATATATGTAAAGTATTAAATATCATATTAAATTGCAATAAATACGTTTTCCTTTCTTATTTTAAAGTTGTACATTAAAAAATATTTTCCATTTACATTTTCATTTAATATTTAATCTTTTTTTAAATCAACCCGTGTAATACACGGGTCTCACACCTGGTATATATATTATATATATATATATATATATATATATATAATATATATATATATATTATATAATATATATATATATATACATATATTACCGTATCTAAATATTAAGCATTTAAAATTGTTAAAACGTTGAATGTAATTTATATTTAGATACAATGTGCTAATTATATAGTAACTTTGTTTCATTTAATATTAATATTTAAGTATGTAAATATCAAGTTGTGTAGTCAATATTAAAATATTCATAAATAATGAGTTGCAAGCCTTTCTATATTTGCAATGTCAGACAATATGTGACAACTCCACGTCACTTGGAAGGCTAATTGAAAGACATATAATCTACCGCTGTGGATGCTCTAAATCTTGGAAATGTTCACCACTCCACATCATTTTTTTTCTTTTTCTTTTTTTATTTTTTTTACATTAGAATAATTTAAAAAATAATTATTAAACAAAAATAAAAACATAAATATTAATTAAAAACATTTTACATTAATTTAAAAAACAGAAATTTAAAATCTACATTACTTAAAAAAACATAATCATTTGAACTTTCGCCACTTTGTTGCACCCTATTACGTGTCGCGGACAACAACGTGTGCAACACCAAGTCATCTTCATCAGAGCTACCATCATCATCAGATGAAGAAGAAGAAATCGAATTCGCAAAATTATTCATATCTATGTTTGAAAGTGTGTTTGAATGGAAATGTGTTTGTGATGTGAATGGAAATGTGTTTGTTTATTGTGTATGTATTTATATGTGTGTGTTAAGTTTTTGTTTGATTTTTTTTTTAATTAGTAACGGTCAAAGGAAAAGGAAAAAGGAACGGTAAAAAAAATTAACAAATCACATGCCCCGTCTTCGTCCGTAGCCACACCCACGCCACAAGGCACCTACGCACACCTGGGGCGGTGTTCACGCGTAGGTGGTCTTGCCATGTAGGCGCTACGTGTAGCCACCTCCCGACCATACCGCAAAGCCTTATGCATTATGATAGATACATGCATCTCAAGAACGTTGATGTCATTTTTGGAACCTGTAACCTCGATGAAAGCATGTCAAATCCAAAATTCTTAAGAAACAACAATCTCTAATACCAACGGAGGTGTTCCATGATGACTACTTGCAAATTCCCCTCTCTACACCTTTAGACAATTTCTCTAATCTCAATGTGTATAATCAATGCTTCCACACATACCGGGAAAACATTTCTCTTCATGTGTCGCATATAGTTGTTGGATATCATTCAACGAAGGTTTCTACAAATAAGCGTTACTGAATGTTTTAACAACCTATTGACAATCAATATAATTTTTTTTGCAGTTCTTTCAGACATTTTCAGATAATCAACGAAATCAGGTGGCTCCCCTTAAGTCATCAACCAAATTGTTGCATCACATTTTTGCAACCCTGTGAACTGCCTACCTCTAACATCAAATCTCAATTGAAAAAACGACACCTAAAGATATATTTAATAGGTATAAATATGAATTTGTATAAAAATAGATTTTATATTTATAAATATGAAAGAAACGAAATGTGCTTTCCAAGACATTGGCCATCCGTGTAAACACATTCCTACTTAAACGAAACCTTCGTTTGAAATCATTTGACATGTATACACAATTATTCACAAAGTAATGGCGATATAGACGTTCGCGTGCTTCCTTGCGATTTCTGTTAGTGGTTTGTTAGTATAATACAAGTACATCATAGTGATGAACATATCATCATCATCAGAGGATGAGTCAAACGGATCTATAAAATGTTTTCTTGGAAATTTGCATAAAAAGATTAGAAAGATGAGAGTGGTGTGTAAAAAAGTTAATAGGGGTACTATTATATATATACTAGGCGAATACCCGCATGTTGCGCAAAATAAAATAATATATTTAAAACCTTTACAAATATATGTTTTTTAAATATATCAATGACGTTATTACCTCCTATATAATAAATCTTATAATAAGTTGGTATAAATATTGTTTATTTTGAAGTATATGATAATGTAAACATCTTTTAAAATTCTATAATCTCAATTGTCTCTACTTGCGGGTTACTCATGAATAAAATTAAATATAATATATGGTTTAATGATATTTATAATTGTTGTTATGATTAATTAATTTTAAAAAGTTTATTTGCTTAAGATTATAACTTCTATCATTGTAAGTAGTAGGTGATCCTGTCTTCGCCGAAGGCGTTATTTTTTTCTTTTCAAAATGGACCAAAAGTGTCAAGTTCATAATACCATAAAACTCAAGGCGGCAAACATAAAATACAAGGTACCAAAAGTGTCAACTTCTTAAAACTTTTGTGGCGAAATTATGAAACATAAAAAGTTCGCCGAAAACATT